TAATGTAACACCTTAGGCAAATCTCACATCGACAAAGCACGGGATAGATCCATTGTTCATAAGTAGGAAACCGATCTTAACTGACAAGACGAGTTGTGGAGTGTAATGGAGGAGTTCTTATGAGAACTCCGAAGTTAAACGTGATCAGTGTTGATTATAAACAAGGATGGGTGACCTTATGGAAAGTCACCTTGAATTGCATCCCAAGTCGAAAACCATGCGGGTGTAGAGTCCAAAGCGAACAGTATCTTGTCGGGAATAAGTTTTGGATGTTACAGTTAATACATATGTATTTTCCCAAGCAAACTTTCAAGAAAACTTAACAATAAATAGAAAGGCGCCTTAGCAACAACTAACCGACTCAAAACTAATTTTTATTTATTGTTAATCAAGTGAATTTCATTACGAACAACGGGTTGAATTGATGGACGAAACATTACAAAGATAAAAGAAGAAATATGCAAAAAAGAGCCGTAAGAAAAAAAAGTTAACATCGTAGAAACCCAAAAGGAATACACATATATATGATTTAACCCAAAACATAGCAAACTATCTAGCGTCCCAGGGAGATGTCTAGCGTCCAATGGTCTCAGTTTTGTTTCGATTTTGGGTCTGTTTTTCTTGGTTTTACGGTTTTGGATGCAGGACATGAAAATTGTTCTCCATCCCAGCTTCTATTTCTCCCGGCGATTCTGCGGCGAAGTTCACAACGCCAGCGGCGGCGGGACTATGTTAAAAACCCCATACTTGAACACCACTTAACTTAGTCGCCATCGCCAGTGTCTAGATTCAATGTCTGCAGCACCACTCCTCTTCACACGTAGCTGTCCGAAGTGCCAGCATTTGTCTCGGTGGTGGTAACTGACCCGGGCGGGATCTCCCTTCCCTTTTGATCTTCCTAACGATCCCAATGGTAATTATTTTCATTATTTTCTTAATCAATTTGCTCTGACCAGATCATTCCGATCATTCTTTCCAATCCTGGTTCCATTGGTCACGCTGTTTGGATTTGCGTGGGCCTCTCCGGTCATTCTCCATCCTCCATCGGTAGAAATTCAGGTATCTTTTCCGGTCACGTTTCCGGCAAGCGTGATGCTTCAGCCTTAAATTAATTGCGAGCCTGATTTTCAGTGTTTGTCAATACTGACTTAAAGTTTTTACCCGGTTAGTCCAGCCGTTTAATTTTAATTTGGTCTTAATGGGTATTACTTATGAATTGAGGATGGTAATTTACCCCAGCTTCCTGTAATTTTGCCGTCTACCATTACAATTCAATATTAAAGAATAACAGCGGAGAGAGAAAGGCTCGTCTTGCAATCAAGGAGGCCAAATGTGGAAACCAAATTGCAGATCTCGTCGGTTCCAAAATCTTTACCATCATGCCAAACTAGTGTTCTATATGAGCGTAAGCTTAGCAAGCTAACGGCGGCTCTTAGCCACCATTGAACGGCCTGGATTTGGCTGAAAATGGCACTATTGCCGGAAATCTCCCGTGAGTGGGAGAGTAAGACTCGTTTAGTTCTTTTGATTAACATAAGCGGCCCTCGTCTGAAATCCGACCATGGCCGGAAACAGTCTACGGTGTGGTACCACAAATGGCGAACTCGCCGAAAAACCTCCGCCGTCAGAGAGTATTGGCAGTTAATTGCCGGAACAGTTACAAGTCGTTGGCGAGTAATTTGCGAATTTTCAGTCCTAAATTTATTTTGCATTAAATTTTTTCTATATGTGTAAGTAACGATTAATTGGCCTATTTATTGTTTAGTCTCATTTTTATTGTCAAGAATTCATGTCATTAATGGTATTAATCACATGTTCTACAATTTCAAACAATGAAGTCTTCCTTAGTGCATCAACTATGGTTTCTTATTTCTTTAGAAATAGTCAAATAGGGCTATCACCTGGCTCATGAATCAGCTTTGGCCTCAAATCGAAAATGAATAGTCGAGAAAGCATTGAACATTTATTCTTCATATGCCCCTAGCCACCAGAATGTGGACTTTAGTGGGATTGAGAAACTTTATTGAGACCGCCCCGACTATTAACTTTAGTCTATGGTGGCGACTTGTCATGGTCTCTGAGACCTCCTCATTCCACATTCTCCAATGCGTCTGCTTACTTTGGAGAATCTGGAAGTCTATAAATAAAGTGATTTTTGAATTCTACCAACCTCATGTTCGTTCCCTAGCCAGACAATTCTACAACCAGGTCCTTGATATCTCAAACACTCTCCTCCCTCCCCAACCCCACAACTCTCTTCTCCCAAACCATCCAACCACCACTTGGGTCCCGCCGCCAGACGATTACTTGAAGATCAATTTCGACGCTACTGTTTGTGCCACCGGGTGTTCGTCTGGGCTTGTTGTCCTTGGGTCAAACGGACATGTGGTGTTGGCATTCCGGTTACAGCATCAAGGAATAGTCAACCCTTCCCTGGTAGAGCTCCTAGCCATTAGAGATGCTATTTTCATCATCACATAAAGATCTTTGACTCACGTGATTGTCGAAGGTGATTCCGAAGTGGTCGTCAAGCAGATCCGGCAAGGCATCATAGAAGACTCGATTGGTGGTCCGATGTTGCGAGAGTATCGTCAGATCCTTAGCTCTTTGTCCTTTTGTTTAGAGTTTAGGGCGGTTTCTAGAATTGCCAACAGTGCTGCCCATAGAGTGACGCGTAAAGCACTGCTTTTGTCTCGTCTAGAGCTAGAATCTTTCGATTTTTTGGGGTGACTTCATTAGATTATATTGTAAGGGGTCCTGGGTAGATTTGTATGAATAACTCTTGTCTTCTATTGATATCACTCAGAAAGAAGGGAGAAAAAAAAACCCAGAGTTTTTCCCGGGGACCGACGGGCGGCGTGAGCACAAGGCTTTAATTTCGGTGGGGAGGTCAGGATAGTACTTGGACGGGAAAAGAAGCCACCAGCAGAATTCGTCGAGCCCATTCACCACTCTGCAGCAAGCAGGGCTAATTGGCCCCCCGCCGCCGCCGCCGGCGGCCGGGGTCTTGCCGCGGTAACCACTGGAAACGGCTTGGCTGATTTGGTCCATGCAATCCGGCACCTTATGTACGGCGATGGAGCAGCTCAGTGGATTAGGTTCCGGCATGCTCGTCGCCGCCGCCGCCGCCCCGTACGAAGCCTGTTGCTGGTTCCGCGCCATGATTGTTAACGATGATATTGTTGATTACGATGTTGCTGGATCTTTGGTTTCACAACTTTGGCCTCTATTATTTATAGAGTTACACAAGTAAATTTCGTTGTTTTTTATTCAAGGGTTTAGCCTCTTTCTTCCTTTGCAAGAAACACTAGTTACGTAATAAACAATAACAAACACAATCTCCTAATCCTATTAGAACACTTAGAATTGATAATTATACTAAATATTCTAAAATAATATGAAACACCTAAAGATAAGGAAACAACGTGTCAAATTTGTGAATTAGGATTTGCGGAAGAAGAATCAAATGTTTCTCATTCAGACAGGAAAAAGTAATCGATACACCTTCATTGCACAACATTAAATTTGTTGTCTTAAAATTGATGAGTTTAATTTACTGAGTTATTATCATGATAAGTTTCCAGCCAATGTGCTCACGCATCTCGATCACCAAATGAGGGGCTACATTTCTCAATGTCAAAGAAATGCAGGAGCTTTGATGGATTACAATGAACCGATTATCAGCTAGCTATCTAGGGTGACGGTGGAGAGAGAAGAAATTACGCTTGTAATCTTTTGGCTTACTTACTTTTCAAGTTAGTGTTGGTTTACCTATTGCAAGCTGCAAAAGAGAGTTATTTCAGTTACGAAGTTAAGCAAGAACGACCTTCGAAATTAGGTTAATGTCCAGTTTATGAATGATTGCTAAGTTGTGGTAATCGAAAAAATATTTGGTTTGCAACATAAGCTACGAATGTAATTTTACAAACGTTTAAGAATATGAAAAGTCGTTCGTTGTAGTTTGTTGTAAAAAAAACAATGAAATCATAAACTCTATAGTTAATAATTTTATTTTTTATTATCTTATTTTTATCCGTCGACACACAAGTAGGGGTGTTCAAACGGTGTGGTTACCATGGTAACTATTTTAACCAGTACTATTTGGATAATTTGGTTTGGTTAATTTGGATAATTGGTTTGGTTTGGTTGAAGTTCTTAGCTTGTTTTGTTTATGTGGTTTGGTTTGGTTTCAGACACTCCTAACCAGCCAAACCAAATAAATAATACTTTGAATAACCACTCAAGAATTAAACGTTCATCCCTTTTAGAGTCATAAAATATAAAGCTTGATATTGTTCCTATAATGTATATTTGTATATGTAGAGTGTAGACCACAATATATGAACGCATAGTTTAGATAAATACATACATTATGTTGGATGAAAACTTGAAAGCAAGGTCCTTTTCTGCCTATGAAAATTACTAAAATACTAAGTCAATTCAAACAAACACAACAATTCATTAACCCATATCATTGTGATAAATTTTTGTTAGATGAATATTTCTATACTAACCGTAAGATAATTGTCTTAGTTGCATGTATTTATGTTAAGGGTCAACTATAACTATGTGTTGATTGTTATGTTTTATTCATTATATAAATTGTGAATTGATATATTAACCGAAATTTTTCTCAATTAATGATAATGTGATTTTATATTGGTTAATCTGGTTAACCAATTAACCAAACCGATTAAACTTTAATTTGGTTAATTTGGTTGTTGTATTAGTTTGGACGGTTTGGTTATGATATTGTATTCTATGGTTAATGAAATTTAGTCTTATTTGGTTTGGTAATAATCATGGTAACCATTTGAACACCCTACACACGTTGTAGAATTCACAACCCGTTACTGATAATAGAGTTGGGGTTCAGAAAGTACAATATGGAGATTCGATATTTTCCTCTTCTCTTATAGCTTAATTAGTTCTCTCTACGAGAAACTTTTATTTATGAGAAGATCGAGCAAACCCACGACCACCGGCCGGCCAGCACAGCCTCAACCGGAGCTCCCGGCGGGCACCGACGACGACGAGCGGGAGCACAAGGCCTTAAGCGCGGCGGGGAGGGCAGGGTAGTACTCCGGGAAGAGAAGCATCCAGCAGATGTCGTCGAGCCCATTCACCACTCTGCAGCAAGCGGGGCTCGGCCCGCCGCCGCCGCCCCGGCCGTAACCGCTGGAAACGGTGCGGTTGATTTGGCCCATGCAATCCGGCACCTTCTGTATGTCGTTGGCGCAGTCCATTGGATTCGGAGGCATCAAGCTCGCCGCCGCCGCCGATGACCCTATTGAAGGCTGCGGCTGCTGCTGGTGGTGGCTCCACGCCGCGATTGTTAGCGATGATATTGCTGCAATTAGTGTTGCAATTCGAGCTGCTGCGAAAATTGATGTTGGTGCCATTTTGATTTCGGGTTGATGAGATTTTTGGATTGTCGATGGACAGGGGGGGATTTTATGCCCCGACTTCTGGTATGAGATTTCCAATTGGTTTGGCAAGCAAGCTTGACATATCGATGGAACCAAACTGCACCATGTTAAATTGATTGGTCACAAGGTTAGCTAGGTAGATTAGCCTTGCATGAACCTATATTAATGTAGGGATGATAATTAAACTCACGTTCGTGGGTATTCAACCGTTTTGGCCCATTAAATGTGGGAAATTCTCACAAAATTAGTTGAGTATGAGATGAGTATATGAGGCCTGAGGTAAAATTCGGAAAGAGTTTGAGGTAAAATTCTCAATACTCATACCACATGCTCGTATGTATACAAAAATATACATATATATTATAACCTATTGAATTCTAGATATATGAATATTATACATACGAGTCGGGTTTACCTATGGGCACCCAAAAAACCGTAGGTATAGCTGTGTAGGCCTACATAGATGACTGGATGAGATTGTAAAACTTAGGATCGATATGAATTTGCGTATTTAGAAATGGGGATGAAAATAGTTTAGGGAAATCCGTCCCATTACCATTCCTAAATAGGGTGATCAGTAGCAAAAGGGCTCTGCTTTTATGTTATAAAAATAATTTTCAATTTTTCAAAGGTCAAGTTCATACATATGTTTGGCCTTACTTCAAGTATAAAATCACTTCTAAAAACAAGCCAAACATAGATATGCCTTTGTCTTTTGAATAGGGGTGTTCAAATGGTCACCGTGGTAATAACCAAACCAATTACGCCTAAAATTCATTAACCATGGAATAAAATGTTTTAACCAAACCATCCAAATTAACACGAAAACCAAATTAACCAAACCAAAGTTTAATTGGTTTGGTTAATTGGATAATCAGATTAACCAAATAATTAACATAACATTACATGAAAACAATTATCCTATTAATAAATAAAACATAACCATATGTTATTACTATCACAAACTATCATTATATATAAGCAATAATAATAAGATTAACCATCCATGATTATCATCATCATTCGAGTTAATACATCATTCATCATCTTTGCACCTAATATAGTTAGCTTACAACAAACCCTTAACATAAATATTAAATACATACCAATACCACTCATCAGGAAGTTAAAGCTCCCCTACAAAACACTTGAGGGGTCGTTTGGATGTGGAAATCTTAAAACGTGGAAATTTGTCCCAATGTCCACAACATTGAAAACCTAGGAATTGTCCTATGGTAATTGAAAAGATTTCCATGTTTGGATAGAGTTGTGGAGTGAGGAATTGTTAGTATGGTATTTTAGGTTATTACTAAAAAAATACATAATTGCCCTTTATGTATGAATGGTTTATCTCGTGGGTCTTTTGCCAATTTTCACCCCCTCTCGAAGAACCCAGCTCTCAGCTCTCCCTTCCATCTGCTACTGCTAACATATGCTAACTTGTTAAGTTTCAACTAACTACTAAGGCTAACTACTGATTGAGCTAACATCAAACCTTTAACATAAACACGGTTAATTTTCAACTAGCAATTTGTAATTTGAGCTAGATGATTGAGCTAACATCAGACTTGTTAACGTAGAAACTGTTATACAACATAGATACCTTTACGTAAGTCTTCTAGTTGGCAAGTCATTCTTAATAGATAGAACCATTCAAGAACAGTAGGTCATTTCCTCTGTTTTTAGGATCGGGCCGGAGGCTGAACCGGAAAGTAAGTGGTTTAGAGTTTAGTGGTTGACCGTTATAAAACCATTGATTAACGGTTGATATAACAAGGTTGAAAAATAAAAAGAGGAAGCAAATATAAAATTAATAATTATGATTTGATGGTCTTAGCTTACGTTAAAGTATTATTATAAAAAAACAATTTGTGGTTAAAATAGTGAATCAGTAGACCAGTTAATCCGTGGTGGTTCATGTGGTTTGATGTTGAACCATGAAAAATCGTTTGGTCAATCAATAATCGTCCAAACAATGAACCGGTCCGATATCGTAACTGGTTTGGTGATTCTACTGACCCAACCATTGATCCGGTTCAGTTCTTATAACAATGGTCATTTCCCATGCCTACACCAAAACCTCTTGGACAATATAAATTTGAAGAAAGAAAAAAAAAATATAATACATATATGAAGAAAACAATATGGGAACAAACACAAGAAGAGGGCAATTAAGTGGCAGCACTTGAGACAAACAACAAGAGGGCAGTTATGGGTTTACATTAAAATATGAGGGACAAAAATGGAAGAAAAATGTCCAAAAACGTGGTAATGTGAAATACAGTGGGGGGTGCCGGTTTTCCCTTTCCCGCATCTGTGGGAATCAGACCAAAATACAAGGGTCCAATTACCATGCTCACTTGGACCAGCCAAACATGGTAATTCAGCCCAATTCCTTCATTGTGTGGGAATGTAACCCAATTACCACACTAGATTACTGAATCCAAACGACCCTTAAACTATACATAGTTTGAGGTGAATGTCATGTATTTTACGTAATCCTAAAGTCTAGTAGCTGTCCAAAATGTTTTAGTTTAGTAAATAGGCAACCCATTTAATTTCTGACCCATAATGCTTTGGTTTGTTGTGCACATGGAAATAAAATAGGGAATCACGAAAGTTTGGTTTGGTTGGTTGCATGGAAGTATACATAATTTTTTATATTAGGTGTATCATTAATTGATTAATTGGTTTCATTGGGTAGTAGTGTTGAAACCAAACCAAACCACCTAAACCAAATAAGTTAAATTGTTTAACCAAACCAAACCAATTATCCAAATTAACTAAACCAAATTAACCAAATGCTACCGGTTAATATGGTTACCACGATAACCAATCCGTTTGAACACCCCATACTTTTGAACATGTCTATCAAATAAAAAACCATTTTTTTTTATATTTGGATTTTTTTTTTGTCAATAGATCACTCATTAAAAGAGGAAATCGTACAGATACATCGTAGCAAGAGGGTTCAAACATCCCTCGAACGAAGCCAAGAACAGAAGTCGAACCTCAAAAACAATTGAGGCGACATACTTAGAGCTTTACGGGCCACACAATGAGCCGCTATGTTTCGAACTCTACCCAAAAACACAACCTGAGACACATCAACGAGTTCAATAAGATGGAAGATTTCTTGCAGGAGCACACCAATCTTGCTATCAGCCGCGTCCCTAGCCAAACATTTGTCTATGATCAATTTCGCATCACCGCCAATGGATACCCCTTGCAGCCTCCTCCTGTAACAATCTGCCAAGCAATCCCTCATCCCCAAAGCTATTTGGATTTTTATATAAGAAATCGGGCCAAACTAACGGATTTGGGCTTGGGTTGGGCTCAGCAAAAGCCCGCCCACAGCAGCACCTATCTTCTTCTTCTCCGCCTATCCTTTAGATTCAACTCAAGGGAGACGCAAACTTTCCCATCTTCGGGATTTGATAGATCGATTCTCTCCAATTTTTCCGGATGCCAAACAGAACTTCCACGCCGCCGCAGCCATCGCCATAATGCTGAGAAGAAAACCCACCAAAATCGACGTGAGCATCGAAGACAAAGAAGAGATCGAACAAGCCCGCAAAACTGCCGCCGACGCCGCCGCCATCCCTTCCGCCGGCGACGCTCTCGTCCGACTCCTCGACCGCACCCAATCCAACAACCCCGCCGCCCCCTCCAAATCCCAACGCATCGGCCTCTCCTCCTCTTGAAATCTCACAAAGCTTCCGCCTTCAATGGAAGTGGAGGTCAAGCTAGGGCTTCCCAACGCCGCCGCGCACTCCAAATTCAAATCCCTGATTTCCGAATCCCACATCAAGACCGTCAACCAGCAGAACCTCTTCTTCGACACCCCCACCGCCGCGCTCGCATCCAAGCGCGCCGTGCTCCGCCTCCGATTCCTCGACGGCGTCACACGCTGCGTAGTTTCGCTGAAGGCCAAGGCTGTTTTGGTCGATGGGGTGAGCCGGGTCGAAGAAGACGAGGAGGAGATCGACCCGGTACTGGCCCGGGCCTGCGCCGCCGACCCGATGAAGCTGGGCTCGGTTGATTCGAGGATCGTGAGGAGGTGCAGGGATGAGTTCGGCGATGGGAAGGACATGGGGTTTGTTTGCTTGGGAGGGTTTGAGAATGTGAGAGATGTTTATGAATGGAGAGGGATGAAGCTGGAGGTGGACGAGACCAAGTATGCTTTCGGAGTGAGCTATGAGATTGAGTGCGAGAGTGAGGATCCTGAAGCGGTGAAGAAGGAGCTCGAAGGGTTTTTGAAGGAGAATGGGGTTGATTACAAGTACTCTGAGATGTCAAAGTTTGCTGTTTTCCGATCTGGGAAGCTGCCGTGAGGGTAAGTGATCATGGTAAAGCTCTTGAATTTCGGCTATGAATTTGGGATTGCTGTGATTGTAGGATTGCTTGATTGAACAACAGAGAGTGATGAAACTTAGCTAGTAGTGAAGCTATATTCGCTCTGTTTTACTTGTAAATGCTATTGAGAGTTCTGAATTCTTATGTCATACCAGGCTGTTTAATCCTCCCATGGAATAATCTCTGCACAGACCATAATATCCTGCCAATAGAATCGATACTGTTGTAATTATGAACCTCTTGGTCTTCATTACTGTATCATTGATGAACAATGAAAGAGTTGCAATACGAGTGTCTCATATATATCTCCTGGACCATTTTTTTGTAGGACTACTACCTGTGATCGTGATCACGGTGGGGATCTGTCCACCGTGATTAATTTCGTGTTGATCTGGATTTCTGATCGAAGAGACCCTCTGCGGCAGTCTTTGTTTCATCTCAATGTCAATTATCTTGCTCTGCTGAACCAGTTCTTGTTGTCCATCAGGAATTGAAGCCACCTATGAACTCTATTATTACTCCTTACCGTGTTCTGCAATGAACTTCGACTAGAGGTTTTTGAAGTGGGATTTCGACATAATTAGTACGCTGAGTAATTGACGACATTGTATTGTTCTGCAAGTGCTGGTTTAAGTATGGCGTTATAAGCATTTTCTGCTGTTTTTGCGATCTGTTATTCAAGAGTATTCCTCCTGGTCCAGGTTAAGAGCTGGCTCTGGAAGGCAAGACCAGATGCAAAAGAGGAAAAAATCCCAGAATACACCAATTATTAAAAAAAATTACCAAAATACAGTACTTATAAAAGTATTTCCTAAAGTACAGCAGTTTCAACATCACTGTCTTTGTCTAAGACAGTGATGTTGATCACCGTTTTGGTCTAAAACGATGATACATCACCGCTTTTGACAAAAGCAGTGATGTTATCACCGCTTTAAACCAAAGCAGTGATGCCATCACCGCTGTCAAGGACGACAGTGATGGCAAGACCGTTGATGTTGGAGGCAGTGAAGCCTTCACCGTTGGATCCAACAGCGGTGAAGTGGCGCGGATCGCTGACGTGGACGCGCGCGGGCACTTCACCGCTGAAGACCAAAGCGGTGATTGCCCCGCTTTCCACGTCAGCGATCCACGCCCCACCCCGCGCCTTCACCGCTGCCGTCGGATGCAGTTATGCGCGGATTGTGGTTTTTCTCCACAATCCGACGCATCAGGAGAGGCCACGTCAGCGATCCTTGACCATCACCGCCTTTGTTGGACGCGGTGATGGCGCTGTGTTTGTTTGGGGCGGTGATAACTGGCCAGGTCTTTCCCAGCCCCAAACACTATAAATACCCATCCCCCCCCCCCCCCCTCATTCCAAACCACACCACCACTTTATACTTCTTTCTCCCTCCATTTTTCACTCTAGTTTCGTTCTAAGTATGCTCTGTGGTTGCGGCTAAGTCCGATCTTCCGCATCAGAAAGAATTACTAGAGTTTTTGTTTTGTTGTTTTGTCGATACTCTCGCTAGCTTTTCGGCAAAAAATGGACGAAGAGGCTTTGAGAGTACGTAAATTTATTTAATTCTTTTGTGCTTTTTTTTACATGGGTGCTAAAATTTAAATTGATTTGATTTCATATTTTTTTATAGATGGGTGCTGAGATATACGACCCTAGATTGTATATCGATCCTGGCCCAAGGGATCGAAGGTATTTAACCGGGCAAGATCAACATCGCTCTCGTTCAATTTGGAACAATAATCCGGTAAACACACTAAAATTATTTCAATAGTTTTAAAGTTTTTATTTTGCTTTCTAAATTTTTATTTTGCTTTCTATTGACTGACAATATTGTGTTTTTTGTTTTGTAGGAATCACTTATTCCCATCAGTCATCGAGGTACATGTCGATTGCCCCCTTGGCATCCTCGACTGCATCCCTATCTAGAGAGGGCGGGATTGCACAATTTGAGGCACTTTATGAGGCTAGATATTGACAACGATCTGCTGACGGCAATGGCAGAGCGATGGCGCCCTGAGCTGCATACCTTCCACTTTCCCGAGGGTGAAATGACGATCACCCTCAAAGATGTTGCCATCCTCACCGGGCTCCCGATCACCGGAGATGCCATCATCGACAGCTCGAGAAAACCAGAAGATGGTTGGGGGCCATTGATTCAGGAACGTCTGGGGTTCAACATGCCGACCACCACGCCCGTCGAAGGTCAGGGGCATCCACCACTGAATGCGGGACAAGTATCGATCCCGTGGCTTGTTGACCACATCCAGATGGAGGTTAATATAGGCCCGGATACTCCTGAAGATCAGGTGGAGCGGTATGCACGTGTCTACCTAATTGCCTTGGTTGGTGGGTTTCTGTTCCCCGACAAGTCAAACCGGTGGATACAAGGCATGTGGTTAAATATGCTCCTCGGTGACTGGGACGAGATCGGGCAAAAAAGCTGGGGGTCGGCCGTCTTGGCTGGGATCTACCGCGAGTTGTGTACTTGCTCGAAGTTGGGAGCGAAACAAGCTGGTGGTGCGATGTTCATACTCCAGCTCTGGGCATGGGAAGATTAAAACAAGAAGTCCAAATTAAACATCACAACAACGAAAACTACTCAACAAGATTAAAACAAGGAAGTGAACAACAACAACATCAAGGTTGGTTCGGAATTGGCGCCGAATCTTGCTCTATAGGTGGACCTGGGCAACGCCTCTTGTCATGACCCGGTCGTCTGCACTTTGAGCAACGCTTTGGACCCCGTCGGGCACGTTGTGATTGGTCCATTTCATTGTGAATCCTTTCGGTCCTAGGACGACCTTTGGTGCGCTTTAAGTGTAACGGTGGGATAATCAATTTTCCAATAACCGCAATTCACTAAATACAGACAGTATAATTACTAACACATCAACATGTAAAAAATACATACTTATAACATACTCAATCCCGATCTATCATGAGAAAACTAAACAAATTAATCTAAATTCAGTACTAACTAACTAACATATATCATATCATAATTAATCTAAATATATAATTCTAACATACCTAATTCTAGCACATAATCAAAATGTAAACAATACATAATTCTAACATACCAAATCCCGACGAGTTTCTTGAGCAGTAAACTACGGAGGAACCAGCTGCGAAAACGACTTAACAAAACGATAATTTTTTTACTAATTTTCTGTTTGGCAGCAGGAGGGAAGAGGGGGCGTGGCTTTTTATAGGAAAAATTGGGAGCTAATCACCGCTTTGGACCAAGGCGGTGAACCCATCATCGCCTTAGTCAACAGCGGTGATGGCTAGGTAGCTGTTACCTACCTCTCCACCTACCAGGGCTGTGTAAAACGTGGGGGCAATCACTGTTGTGGACAGCCGCGGTGATGCCTTCACTGTTGCTGTCTAAAGCGGGGATACGTTCCCCGCCTTTGTCAAAAGCGGGGATACAATCTCCGCCTTGGACAAAAGCGGGGAACGTATCACCGCTTTTGACCACAGCGATGATGCGTTCCCCGCTTTCGTCCAAGGCGGTGATGCGTTCCCCGCTGCTTCACTGCTTTGGACAAAAGCGGTGATCAGTATCACTGTCTTTGTCTAAGACAGTGATGTTGAAACTGCTGTATTTTGGGAATTACTTTTATAAGTACTGTGTTTAGGGAATTTTTTTTAATAATTCGAGTATTCTGGGATTTTTTCCTGCAAAAGAGGTCCCTTCTTTAGCTTTAAACCAAACTACCAATTTGATACAACATAAAACAAATGCTCCTCTGAAAAATAATTCATCCACTTTCGTTCTTTGATTTCCAATGTGAATACATCTAGCTGGCTACAAGAGGTTGGTACCAAATGGATGAACTGGGTTGGGGTTGGTTGGACGAAATTAATTGTAAACTGGTTACAATTATGAGTCAGATTGGGTTGTGTCGAACAAGCCTGCAAAAGTGCCATGTTGATTTGGCGATGGCGAGTGGGGAAGGATTCCAGACGTTTTCCTCGAAATAATGTGAACGGCCTAATCAGAGCATGGCTGCCACCTAGGACGTGGGACCGACATTCTCTTCTTCTTTGAGCTCTGTCTACGTCTATCTTCAAAATTATGAATTAGTGTCATGAAACCATGGTAAAGGAAACCGTACCGGACATCATACCGGATTCCTTTCTGGTAGGGTATTTTGTGGTACGACCGTGGTTCAACTGTTTCATACTGATAAATACCATTTTTGTAATAATAAAATATATTTTTTGTCAAAAAACCGTGCCGCCAAAATCAGGGTATCGTCTCGGAGTAATACCGGATATATCGGAATATACTGGATAATAAATGAATAAATACAAGTAGTTAGCAAATTAATAAAAAAAAAAAGAAATTTTAAATAATAATTATTTTTTATAAAAAACTTTCCCATCATTTAATAGATTAATACGCGTGCACTTAACCCTTTCCCCATCTACCATCTTCCGTTCTTTCTTCCTCCCATCTCTCTCTCTCTCTCTCTCTCTCTCTCTCTCTCTCTCTCATATCGTCGTCGCTCCCGATTCCACCACCATCGCCTTCCTCTCCCTCACCGGCCTCGCCTTCCCACCACCGCCGCCGAATCCGGGGAGGTAAAGGCAGAGCGCGCCACATTTGAATTCGTCTTCGTCGAGATCCACCTCGTGTTTCTTCTTCCTCGCCATCGGCGAGATCGTCCTCGGGGAAGAATTGGTGTCGGAATCGGTGGTCGATTCGTCTGGATTCTTGAAACACATGTCGAGCTCGTCGGCGGCGCTCGATCTCCCTTCGGCGCACGACTTGCTCCGCCGCATGTGAATCTCTTGTTCCAGCGCTCGATCTCTCATAATTGATCTCCCTTTGGCAATTTTCAGTATTCGAACGGTGACGTTTTCCTTCCAATGAGCCTACCGCCAGTTAGACCAAAACCGGGCGGTTTTTTCGTTTGTACCGATTAAGTCGGAAAAACCGGCCGGTACGATATTTTGAAGCAAACCAGCCTACCGTATCGTTATTGGTCCGATTTCCGGTTCAACCGGCCGGTACGATCCGGTTTCCTTTACCATGCATGAAACCTGTCTAGATAAAATGAATTGAGAATTTATTTTTATTTCGAAACGAAATTATACATAAAATGCATTATTTATTTGCAATTCATGTCGAAATCTTCATAAATAAATTAAATTAAATTAAATTCCGAAACATGATATGCGGGCGGGTTACTGCCTTACTGGTTACATGCCATTGGCTTTTGGACAAATCGGGTTGTGAATGGTTGAATCAGATGCCTAATGTTCCCTGGGTTGGGTCAAATTTAATATTAACACCTTGGTTAATCAGCTGGGATGGTTTTTAAGATAAGGATAGATATAGATTAGTTCGATTTGCATGTCAAAAGTTATTACGACAAAAAGGGAGAATGGAGCAGAAATTACAGAGACAGCAGGAAACATTACACATCACAATAATAATCTATAACAACAAAAGAGCATCTGCAGCACACCAGCAGAAGTCATAATCATGTCAATGACAATCCATGAAGAAAGAAGACTATAACCCTATCCCGATACCTTGACACAGAACTCAATCTTCCCTCCTAGGAAACCTAACTAATCTTGACAGAGGGAAAGATCCAACCAAAAGTTAAAACAAACAACAGCCTACCCTCTCTTTCCCTCGCTTCCAACTTCTCACAGTCACTTTCTCTTCTTCGCTGGTGGTTGCTGAGGAGTATCATCATCATCTTCCTCGTCTTCCTCGTCATCATCGTCGTCGTCTTCGCCATCATCATCACCATCATCCTCGTCATCATCATCGTCATCCTCGTCATCATCAGAGTCTCCAGCGCCATTAACTTCAGGGTCGTCTTCCGGGTCCCCTCCTTCGTCACCTGTGAAATCCTCATCACCAGCATCGTCATCATCATCATCGTCCTCTGCATTGTCATCGTCATCGTCTTCACCATCATCATCTGTGTCACTGGCATCTTTGTTTTCTTCTACGTTGGAGCATTCCTTCTCGTGGAGCTTGCTGAAAGGAAACCTGCATTGATTATTCGTCAGCATTTGCTTCAGCTTCACATAATTAAGACTACCAATCGAATGTAAGGAATTCTCAGGTGGGTATACCTCTCTTCTAGATCGGTCAGACTGGGCAATGCCTCAGCTTCAGCCACCAGCAATCCAGTCTGGGGGGGAAAAACAATGATGGCATTAAAGGCAAGATACTCGTGTCATGGCAACAAAGATGGAAAATACTATGTCACAGAAAAATAAAAACTTCAAGTGAGCAAGGAACAAGAACAGTGCACAAAGTGATGGAATCAAGAGATAGACCACAGAGGGGAAGCTAAGAGATAAGGGTATAATTGATTCTAGCACGAAGTAACCAATATGACTTCTCCTTCACTTCATGGTGGCAATAGATCAATGTCATGAATCTTCCATAAATATACTAACAACAGAACCCTATGGCAATATCTTAATACAATAAGTCTAAAACCAGAAAGCACATAGAACTAACAGCTAGTGGAAGATTGAGTAACAGGAGTAAAAGCAAAGCTTCCAATTTGAGGTTGAAACGCCAAATTAATGCAGGCATAAGCAGGGGCAGAGACTCTGAATCACACAGAAAAATAAAGAATATCCTATATCACCCAGAACGAGTACAAGTCCAGAGGAAGTTAAGTCTGTTAAACTCAGCTAAAAACAAAAACGATCGATGTCGTACGTTACTAAGGAAAAAAGGAACAGCAATCAATCACCATTCTTTTGAAACAGCAAGTTGGCACTTTTTTCTTCCTTATTAAAACAACAAACAACATGCAAGTTGCCAAGTTGTTTGTCTAATAGCATAACAGGAAAACCTATAACCTCAGTTATGCTACCATCTCAAGGAAAACCCCAACAGACATAGACAAACGCTCCACTAACATCACTGAAGCCCAGCAAACAACCTCTACACATTATACAGTCAGTATAATCTTCAAAGCTATAGAGAACAATTCAACACAACGATCCACCACGAAATTTCTACGTCATAGCTAATGTGGGCCTATAGAATATCTAAGCCATCTCTCAGCCAGAATCACCATTACATCAAATCCTCAAAGCTTCATGACAAACAGAAAGCCACCTATTGACACACAACACTACTACATTCATGCCAAGTAGCTACTGTAACAACACACTAAACAGCTCATACAACAATTAAACACATCAAATCCAAAAATCACACCAACGAGTACAGGTACATTCACAGTCACGCACATAAAGCAGCACTAAAACCCTAATTTTCACCAGATCAATAAAACCCCCTACCAAAAGCAAACGCCTCCACCATTCCCAAGTCCAACAACCAACAAAGAAACACCAGAGCCAACAGCAGAGCAACAGTAGACGAACATAAGTACAAACCACACCAAGCATACAAAGCAAAAGCACCCCAACAAGCACAGAAAGAAAGATTAAATGTCACATTGGGAGGGGGAAAAAAGGAACAAGGGTTTATCTCCTCCATTCATCGAGTCGTACCATAAAGAGCAGGCAAGCAAGAGCCTTTCCGGCAGCAACAGCCGTTTCCACCACCATAGCTTCAACAACAGAGGAAGCCCACTCGACCCTCCTCCCCACAGAGCTCATACTGCCCAAAACCTCCATTAACGGCGGCAGTATTACCAGATGGCGACGAGGAAGGGAAAAAATCAAATCCTCAGCAGAGGACAGCAGCAGGGTAATAGCGAAAGCGGAGGGGGAGACGAGCGAGCGAGGGAGTGTGGTGGAAAAGGATGATCTTTGATTTTGGGTTTTTCGGAGCGCCGTCTTGGGTCCGGTTAGGGTAAACCCTGCTAGGGTTTGGTCCGAATTTGGGGAGTTTTTGTCTGTTTCCGGGTCTTTTTGACCGTTCCGATTGGTTGGGTTCGGACTTCGGGGATCCGGAATTGGACCCGAATTGTGGAATCAATGGGGAAAGGGAAGCGGTGGCGGGTGGTGGAGTAAATGTGGCGTTTCTTTTTCCTTTTTTTTTTTTTTCTTTACACGGCCAGTTGGCCGGATTCCATCACCAACCACATAAACAACAATATAAATTAGTATGAGAGATAAACTTTTTTTTTTGGTAACATAATAAAATCTGATTTATTCAAATTTTTTAGTAGAATAAGAAAATCTAAATTATTAAAAATACTTCAACAATTAAAAAGGATCAACATTGTTCTCTGACCATTAATGACCAATCGACTAAATCCTTTTACGAAAATGAAAAACAAACCTTATGTAAGGGAATCAAGTCAACTCCTAAATACATTATCAAATCATCATTCTATTTACTCCTCGTCGTTAGATATGATTGCACGTATTCTTTTTAACTTTGTTGCATTTCCTCCGTCATGAACAACATCATCATCTCCACCAATAATAATGTCTTCATCTCCATTACGAAACATTTGTCATCATTATCAATTGCATATTCCTTCTTCTCTTGCATTTCAATACTTTGCGGAGAATATTTCTTCAATGCATAAAACCACCTATTGGGCGGACCATTTGTGTTTTATGTAAAATTAACTTATCCCTGTGTTTTACTATTTTAAATTTAAATATGGTTTTTTGTCCCAACATTATGTTATCAAATATTCGTAGTTAACAATGAATCAGTGATTTTGATCATTGTCAGAAACAATATATATTCTAAGTTAAAATGTTTAATCACTAATTATTGACAGTTTGTTATTTATCCCATAGGCTTATGTTGAAAAGTTTCAACACATACAATGATTTCTCAATTATCTTATGTTGACTCATTCCCAATGTGAAGGTTTGTAAACTCTCAATGGAAGACATTATGCCTCGATTTTTCAACCACAATACTCGACTTTATTATCTTATACAACATACGTTAGCTTATTATTCTCAAAATTAGGAATAATTCTCAATCGTTACTTATTGACCTCTCAGTATATCATTGTATTTCTTACCGAAAATGTTAGATCTCTAATAAATATTGTTTATTCGAATTCAAGGTCATTTATACATCATCAAGGTTTTATCATGGACTTGGTGATGGATTTTGATCCATTGTGTACTTGGTGATGGATTTGATGATGCATTTGGATCCATCATGGACTTTGTCCAATATCCATTGTTTGTTTCATGTATTTAGGGGCAACAAATCTGTGAGGCCCACGAATTTTAAGGGTCCAAATCCATGGACCCCACATACTTGAAAGTTCCACATTTGTGGGTGGGAATTGATCATGGACTTTGATGTCTATCATTTAAGACCAAACTACCCTCATATTTCATTTATCTCCTCATACCAATGAGGGCAATAAGAGTAAGTTTGACTTCATACATACAAATCTAATTAATTCCATCATGGAATCTATGAAACAAACAATGACATTTTTCAAGTCCATAATGAATCGAAAACCCTCATATATCCATGGTTTTACAAAGCCCAAGTTCTACCAAAACCTTCATTTTTAAAATCCACAAAGCAAACGACCCCTAGTTAACGATTCCTTAATTCCAAACACATGATCTAGAAATTTAGATATTCGTGGTAAACATTTAAAAGCTAATATTTTCTTATTAGTATAAGTAATTGATAGGATGTGTCTATAATGCATCGCGAGCATGTGGTTCCAATCAAGGTTGTTAAACACGTTTAAGTCATTTAGCTGGTCAAACAAATGGTTTGAGTTTCAATGGTTGGATTTGGAGTCCAATCGATTTAAGCCATTTTATCCCTACTATAAAAATATGGAATTTTTTAAGTGGTCTGTGTTGACTTGGCAGTAACGTGGCGTATTGATCGTTAGTCAACGCGTTTGACCGTCCAAGATAACGATCAAATCTCGAGTTTGGCCAATTTCGGAACTTTGATGCATAGTTGAGGTGACGATGTTATAGATCAAAAAAATTAGTTAGTATGTTTAATTTGTGAAAAGTTCGGGCCATACAAATATATTAACCCAAAAAATATATGATAATAATTTAAGATTTTCACAATCTAAATGTAATTTTACAGGTAACATGCAATCATGTAACAATTAACATATTATCTTACCCTAAAAGTTACGTGTATATATGTTTGGTTTTCCAAATATTAATAGGGTTGGGAAAGGACCAAAAATCAACATTTTATCTAAGAGTCGGAGACAGGTCAATGCATTCTTTCTTCCATGCATGTTGCGATTGTTGCTGATCTTTTTTCTACCCACCAAACTTGAAATTTATAAGGTAATGCTGCGGAGAGGGAAGTGTCAACCCATGTTATATTTGATACCACAAAGGTAATCAAATTATTTAATTACTCGTACAAATTTGGACATGCTATTAACCCTATTTTTTAATAAATTCTTCACAATATATTTTAGTAGAAGCAAATCTTTAAGAGTAAAATATTTGAAAACACTAAACTTTACACGCAGAAGAAGGTAATGTTGCGGAGAGTGAAGTGTCAACACATGTTATATTTGATACCATAAAAGTTTTCAAATTATTCAATTACTCGTGCAATTTTGGACATGCTAATAACCATATTTTTTACTAAATTCTTCGCAATATATTTCAGTAGAAGCAAATCTTTGAAAGTAAAATATTTGAAAACACTAAACTTTACACGTTGAAGAATTGTAAATTATGAATTAAGTCGGGAGTATCATGATCATTCTAGGTTAACTTTAGCCATATGGAGAGTTTAGTCAAAGTTCAGTCAGCAAGTTGAGACTCACTTTCATGACAATCTAATGAATAATTGAAGGTGAGGGCACGATTAGGAACTGACACATAGATCAAGTACTACTATAAAAGAATTGATAGTTCACGAATGCTATAGATTACTTGACTAACATATTTTTCTAATATAAAATATATCTAAATGGATATAATTTTATAAAGTATAATAAATTCAAATTTTCTTTAAAACTCTATTGTTTAAATTAGAACAAATTAAATACGATTAACCAAAAATAATGCGGGTGGGGAGTGGATCCGACTTCAAGCTTCTCTTTTCTTTATATATGAGTGGGGACGAGATACGGTGACAACCCCCTTAGGGGTTGTCAGATTCACAACCCACTTCATAGCCTTTGGATACGCTCTCTCTCCTGTCTCTTTCTTCTTTTTTTAAATTAACGGTTAAGATTAAAGGAAGGATATTTTTGGAAGGGTAAAAATTTACCACACCCAATCATTCACCCTACCATATAAAAAGAACAAAAACCCTAACTCCTCCATCCTCCCTCTCTCTCTCCTCCCTCTCTCCCGTAGACATCACCGTCTCTCCTCCACCTCTCTCCGCCGCCACAGCCCTCCCACCACCGCGCCTGCTGTCCCCGCCGCCATGCCGCGCCGCTGTCCTCCCCCTACCGTGCCGCTGTCCTCCCCCCCCCCCCCCCCCCCCACCGCCGCGCCGCTGTCCTCCCCTGCCGCCGCGCCGCTGTCCTCCCCTGCCCCGCCGCTGCGAGGTCAAGACTCTTCCCTGCCTCCCTCTTTCCTCATCCCTATTTTTTTTCCAGATCTGATAGTCTCTACGGGTACCAATACCACTGGTAGCATTATTAGTACAAATACTACTGGTAGCACTATTGGTACCAATACCACTGGTAGCGCTATTGGTACGCTACCACTAATCACTGGTATCAATACCAGTGGCTCCCCTATCATCTGGTACCACTATCATCTGTTTTTTTTTTGTTTTTTGTGTGTTATTCTCTACTGGTACCGCTACCAATGCTAGTGGTAGCGCTACCAGTGCTAGTAGCGTTGTGTTATTCTCTACTGGTAGCGTTGTACTGGTAGCGTACCACTAGTACTGGTACATTTTTTACTGGTACCGCTAGTACTGGTACATTTTTTAACGTACTGGTAGCATACCACTAGCACTGGTATATTAATTACCAGTAGACTAATAGATTGGTACACTTTTTAACGCATTGGTACATTTTTTCAGGTTGCCGGAGGGAGTCTGCCGGAGAGAATTCGCCGGAGAAAAAGTTTGTCGGTCGATGCGGAGTGGCTGCTGGAGAAAGGAAGAGAGAGAGAGAGAGATAGATAGAGATATTAATGTATAGGATTTAAATTTCAGAAAAAATTGTATTTAATATGAGTATTTAATTCCCAATATAATTAATACAAAAAAGGTAATTAATATATTCATTTTTTTCATACCCAAAATACCCTTGGTTGTGAATCTGACAACCCCTTGGGGGTTGTCACCGTATCCTGTCCCGACATGAGTGTGATAATAACATTATGGGAGAACTACTCAAGTTTCCATCTCCCTCGAGTGAATATATGTTTCCGATGCCTTATTGGAAATGAGCAGAGGAATTTAGTTTTGTCTTTATTTAAGTGACTCGGTTAAGTTTTATTTTTATTTAATTGATTAATTGAGCTTAGCAAAACGACCGATGGGTTGGATCACATCCTTAAGCCCCATATTTAAGAACTTTCTTAAGTTTTGGCCGGCCAATAGGGAGAGGAGAGAGAAGGGAAGAAGGTAACTAACTATAAGGGGCAAATGGGAAAGTTTACTTAATTATTTAATGTTATTAATAATTATATTTATTTCTGGAATATGCTTAATTGACTACAAACACGTCACTTACCATTTGCAACAACCGCTTCTCTCTTCGTTCGAAAAAAAGCCCTAATCTCATAACGACTTCTCTCTCGGTTAAAAATGGATAAGTTTCTGTTAATAACGGTGATATGAAATAAACTTAGGGTAGTTAATAATAACATGAATCGCTATTAACACAGTTGTACCTCTTTATTGGCGCCTAATACACCTATTAGCAATAGTTGTATAGTACTAATGTAGGGTATTACTAAACGGGTTATTAACGTGTTCGGTAGTTTGT